GAGATGCTTGATGAAGATGAAGATGAATTTTAAGTTGTACTTAGTAATCGCTTTGTCTCTGTCGTTTAGTAGGTATTCAATAGAAATACTTTTAAGAGTGTCTTAAAATTGAGTGCCGTTTGAGTATTTAAATATTGATATAGTTTTTTGTTAGGAAGTTGGACATATAATAAAAAATAACCTAATCATGTTGACAATAGTTTCTGTCGTCGTTTCGTAGATCCTCTTGTTAACCAATCCCAGCAGTCAATTGCTCATTGGGGGGAGGCATAATATACATAATAGGGTAGATACCTAATTTTCATTTTAATGTCCGTCTGGTAAATTATTTCAAATCATTAGATACGTATTTATTATTTTCTTACAGAAACGAATAGTTTCTACGATATATTGATTTGAAATGTCGCATGACGTCACTTCTTTGTACATTTTATGCGTAGAAAAAAGTTTCAGCCCCCACTCCGAAACTTTTATTCGTTTTATTTAAGTATTGTTTTATTGTATGACAAAATAAAAAAAACATGTCTAATATTTTTTCATTACCTAACTTACGGACTAATTAGAATTTTAATTTTCAACTGTCATCAACCCAATTATGTATGTTCAGTGGTCCGATATGATGATCATGAACAATTGATATATACATCTGGTGCCCTCGTGCTCAATGAAAACAAAGCAAATATTTATTTACATTTAATAAAGATATTTTTAGGTCAATAATGTTTATCTCAAAATTTAATTACTGTACCTACCTATTGTCTGCAAGGATCATAAAAGCGTGTGAAAATAGTGCTTACCTAGATAATTATTTAATAATGAATCAACGTAGGTATCAACGATTCTTAAGAATCACGTCTCTGTCTAAATAGTTTTTTTTAGTTTTCTTCTATTTAATTCTTGAGTATCTTAAATTATTAGATATGTTTTCGGCTTACTCACGTAATAATTTGACGAGACGCCGCGTCGCGGGTCGCGAAATGCGTTACTTTCGTATGTCTCACGAAAGTTATAATACAAATATCTAAAATTGTACATATTTATTTATTTTTTCATTTAAATTATAATTCTTCATTGTTTGTACGTGTACAAAAACACGATACTTACGATTTACAAAAAAGCGCCATCTATGGACGAAAGTTAGGACAATTTTTCACTGAATCTCGGGTTCGTTGCTTAACAATTTTAGACCACGAGTTAGAGATTATGGTTCAAAAAGGTTCAGATAAAAGAGAGTTCAGGTTTATCAGAGAGCGGTGATACCCAGGGATTGTCAAATGTGCAGTGCCTTATTGAAATAAAATAGAAGGAACTTGTGTTTAGCAGTTAAGCAGGTCACATTATTAATAACCGGAGAAATTATTGACTCTGTATGCAAATTAAGTGAATGTATAATTTTGTTTGAAATTGAATACTACATGCGTTATTTTAGTAAAATCAAATAGGTAGGTATGTACAAGTATGTGCAACATGTACAACATGTAAAACATGTACAACAAGTTGCAACGCCAATAAATAAATTATCTAGATCTTACAAAAGGGCTAGTGAAAGTAAAATAATGCTATGAGCCTAACGTAATTAGAGGTTTAATCATCAACAGCCTTTAAATGTCCACTGCTGAGCAAAGCCTCTTCTCACACGGAGAAGGAGCATTAATCACCACGCTTGCTCAATGCGGGTTGGCGATTTCAAACTTATAATAAGACATTATAAGCTCAGGTTTTCTCACGATGTTTTCCTTCACCGTTTGTCAGTGGTGTCTAAATAATCTTAGAAAGTACCTACATATAACTCGGAAAAAGTCACATTGGTCCTTGCCGTTGCCTCACCCTCATGCTTAACTCGTCGAGTACCGGTTTTATAGAAACAATTATAGAACAATAGGTTGCGGTCACCGGTGACCGCTTGGTGTTTGACAGTTTAAGAAGCCGTCGTCTTAAGAGGTGTAATACGTAGACAAATATATAACTATTTTAGAATGTTAAGTACATAAGTAAATATTAATAAAAAGGGTCCACAGGGTGCTACTGGATGCAGGCTTTATGGAAGTCATTGGGACTACAATGTAAGTCATAATTTTCACCCTATTTATGGCATGCGTCGTCGTAATATAATTATAATAGTCTAAGAGAGCGAGCTTGTATGTTCCACTAAGATACTTTCGAAAAGCAAAATAGAATATCGTTCTTGGTACTATAAATTAAAACCTTCAAACCTTCAAGAGAAGAGCGTACTCCTTTTTAAAGGGCCGGCAACGCACCTGTGACTCTTCTGGTGTTGCGGGTGTCCATGGGCGGCGCTGATCGCTTACCATCAGGTGATCCGTCTGCTCGTTTGCCTCCTATTCCATAAAAAAAAAAAAATATAACTATAAATCGAAGCTACTAGAAAAAAAATAGATTATGAAGAAAATCTTACTTCAATAATATCTTTTTATACTTATTTACTTTTCGCTCATATAAAACACGATAATCTTACTTTTCCATTGCTGGGTTGTGTTTAGAAAACAATAAAACTTATGTACTTACCAGAAGAAAGTTCGCGCCTGCGCGGGTACAGTGTAGTTTCTACTTTATTGTTTAAATGGAGCAAAGTACCGTAGAGCAATGGAACTAGAAGCTATCCTTTCCCTTTTATCAACAATCTCCTTTCAAATCTACACTCCTGGTACTTGAAATTTGCTAGTAATGTAGGCTAAGGAAGTGTAATTGGATCGCACTACTCATGTTAGTTAAAAGTCATGGAAAATAAGGAAGGTTTTTGATACGAATTTTCAAATTGGTTGGTTTTCGTATTTAAAGGCGAAATCGTTTTAAATTTTGTATTTTAATGACGTGATAATTGTTTAAAAATGATACGCTTGTCGACTTGTTAACCTTACACGCGTTGTTATTTTTTAGATAGGTGGATACATTAGTTTATAAAAATAAAATAATTTTAAAAATTAAAAAATCTGACTGGAGGCAAATTAAAAAGTAACAAAACAAGTTCGGTTCAGAAGTAGGTACCTATACTGAGTATGTAATTTAATTAAAACAACTGTACCCATTATTATTTTTGACTCAAATTTATCCCGTCTTATATGGGCTTCGATTGTTATCGATAGCAATACATTACAATAACAAATAAAACTTGTTTTATCTTGTTTATAGAAAATTAAGTAATAATCAAGATGGCAGCGTATACAAATTGATGATAAAAACTCATAATTCTCTCTTGTACTTAAATACTTTGACCAAGACTCGAATTCACAATCACATATTACTCAACTAATCTTGATGAATTGATTGTAATTAAAGAAAAATCTTTTACATGACATCAAACGTATAATTCCCCGAAAGTAAGTCAAGATGAGCCTAATTATAGTTAGGATGCTATTTCCCGGTTTGTTGTGATTTATAGCCTAGTAAAAAGAAACTTCTTCTTTTACAATAATACATATTTGTGAAATTATTACATGACATATGACTGTCTGTAATTTCCCAACATCGTTCGTGTTAAATTTTAATGCAACATGCGGTATTCGTCTGATTCATGTGTTTAGGGATGAGTACCTACATTGTCACAAATCTTCGGGGATTTTTTTTTAAGGGGGGAAAATCATCGAATGGCTGCTCCCGCCTGGGTGAGGCTCCCGCCTCACGAGAAACAGCCTCACAAGAGTCTGACACTCCCTCCCGGGAGTGTCAGACTCTTACTGACTAAAAACCACCCCGTTTCTTCTCCTGCACGTCGAGTCGGAGCCCCGGTTACCCGTTAGGTTCTCCGCGACAAATCTTCGGGGATAGAGCAACTCCGCGGAATTCCGCGATTCAAGTTATTGTGCAAAAATCCCGCAAATTTTGAATTGGTTGGTTGCCTTGACATTTCGACTTATTTTTATAAATATGATTGAAAATGAGCTTCAAATTCACTGAATTAATAATGTTAATAAGGTTCAACCTTCCCTGTAAAACTGGATCTATTGCAGATACGCCATACGCGGCCTTTACGTATGGTAGATTCGCGGATTTGCACTATCGCCGACAAAATGTTATTATCAGTTACGCAAATTAATAATACATATTTATAAACGAATAGCACTAGGACGGAAAATACTATGGAAGGAAATAAATTAACAAAGAAGGACATTCTCTAGGCCTTTAATAAATTAAATCATGTTTTTATACTTATTCAACGTCCAATATCAAAAACAATAATTTATTCCTACCTATACATAATCTTGATGTAATAAATAAAAATTGTCGATTTCCTGATTGAAATTCAATTAATATACATAAGACCTTTTATCTTTTGATCATAATAACGTTTTGACTATTGCCTTACAAACAAAATTGTGCATTACATGTAAAGAAATATATAATTATTATTTGACTGCACGGTTGGTGCGGTGGCTGGGCAACCGGCTGCCGTGCATCGTGTCGCGGGTTCGATTCCCGCACGGGACAACACTTTGTGTGATCCACAAATTGTTGTTTCGGGTCTGGGTGTCATGTGTATGTGAACTTGTATGTTTGTAAACGCACCCACGACACAGGAGAAAATCCTAGTGTGGGGCACAAAAAATGCAAGCGTAATTACGACACAGGAGAAAATCCTAGAAAAAAAAAAAAAAAAAAAAAAAAAAAGGATTGATTTGATGTTAACTAAGAAATACTTTTACGAACTTGTCATGCCAATGTATTACGTCGACACATTGGTAGTAGCCTCATTTCAATATTCTAGGCTTTAGTGATTGATGAGATTTTAAAGAAATAATTAACTTCCAATCTAATAATTTTAATAACATTATAGTGCTTAATAAACAGTTTTCTTATGCTACGATCTGAAATTTGATCTATCCGAGCTTATGTAGGCGAAACGGAGGAAAACCCTTTTCTTCACCCTCAAAATACTATTGACCCAAAATACAAATGGGTACAATTATTAAATCAACACATAAAACGAATTACTTTAATATTTCAATACTTTTCACATTTTTTTTTATTTTTTATTTACTTACCATTTTGCAATCCAATGACAATAACAACACAATAAATACACTAATAATTCTTATTCACACTTCACATAAAAATCCACATAATTTCACTATTCACTAATAAATGCGTAATTATAAAATTAATCGACGATTTATTCGATCGAGTAACTATAGATTGGTGCGTGCGCGTACGCCGCGGATAGTACGGAATGTGGTGCAGACTGTGCTGAGTGGATAACGGTCGATGCGCCTGCGCACCGAGATGTAAACATCAGCGGCTTAGTTTGAATGGTTTCCATGATTGATCTTAGTTGATTCTTTAGCTAATCCATGTAATTTCTCATAGCGTGGAGATTAATTGATGGTGAACGTAAAGGCAATTTCAATATTTTTTCTTACTTTTTATATTTGGTAACCTGTTTTTGATGCTGTAAAAAAATGATGTATTCGTATGAGTGGATATATGATTTGTGGTTTAAGATTACGAACAGGCAATTAAGTTGGCATGGCCTATCACTTATAAAAAACAAGCACACAAAAAGTAATACACGACCATAAAGAGATATTTATATACGTACACCTAGTAACTAGCCAAGTTAAAGATCAATGATTTAACATTTTCAATTCTTATATTATACCTATTATAATCCTGTAACAACCATAGTAATAAACACATTATGCGCTAGTGACATCTACACGGCATGCATAACGTAAACAGTAGTTCCGACACACGGCCATAGATGGAGCTGTAGCATGACGTCATAAATAAGATCGCGGTGTTAAGATTCTCCGTGAGTTAATGACCGCCCTGCGTGTTCATTGAATATTGTAAGACTGACCTAGAGTTGCATTCTTGGATCACGTCCTAATTGGAATGATCATTTGAAACCTCTCTAGCTAAGTTAACTGAAATACGACTTTTGTCAATTTTTGTTGTTCCGAAAAAGGCTCAGTTCCGCCCTTCATCCTCTCGGGAAATGGTGGTTACGGAATTGTCCCATTCTATTTCAATCGTAAGAAAAGCTGTCGTAAACGCTGTTCGTTTACTTTGTCGGCCGCCGGTGTAGTCCATCTCAACACTCTACTCTATAAGCTGGCGCCCAACGTGAGGCCCGAACAATCACCAAGTGTACAAGAAGATTAGCGACACTAAAGAAATCACCTGAAGAAATGTCGATAAATCCATCCGAAGCCCAATTCGAGACTTTGTTGGAAAAAAGCTCTCCATCCAGACAAGGATCATTTACCTCCTGTACTTCATACTACGATGGGACCCAGGACACAGAACTTTTAGAAGCGTTCTTGGCGGCGGTTACCATTTTCAAACGCATTGAAAACATCGATGATAAAGAAGCCCTAACCGGTATCCCGCTACTACTAAAAGGGGAAGCAGCAATATGGTGGCAAAGCGTAAAGAAACACGTTTCTACATGGAAGTCGTTTAAGGATCGCCTGCGCCATACTTTTGCACCCAAGAAACCGGCGTTTGTACTGTACCAAGAGATAGTTGGCATAAAACAAACCAATAATAGATCCACAGAAAATTTCGTGGCCTACAAGAGAATGCTAATCTCTCAGCTTCCGGCGCCTGAGCCCCCAGAATCTCATCAGCTGGATATGATTTATGGATCACTGAGGACCAAAATACAGGATAAGATTCCCCGAAATTCCTTCACCACCTTTGACGAACTGTTGAACATTTCACGAGCCATTGAACAACTATGGAATGAACAAACTAAAGAGGCTAAACTTCCTAGGAACCAGTCAAGAAAATCGTTGCAACCAAAAAAGAAATGTGGTTTCTGTCATTTCAATGGGCACAACATCGATGAATGCAGGAAGCTTAAGAAGAAGCAAGAAGAATACGGCATCAAGGTTGAAGCTCTTGAAGCTCCTAAACGTCCTAGGCATGAGAGATCCAGGGCAACACAAATTCCATCGCCTTCTTCTTCAATACATTGTTACGGATGCGGCGCACCAGGCGTAGTTCGAAGCAACTGTACCACGTGTGCTGGCAGAAAGCAACGAGCGCCACCAGCGGACTTAAACTTCTGCTCCTTCAATTTCAAATCGGAAGTGAGAGCCAGACCGATTGTGTATGTGGACATTGAAGGCATAAAAGAAGTTGCGTACATAGACACTTGTGCCAAAACAAGTGTGGCCTCCTATATCCTATATAAAAAACTTGAGGCAAAGGGACAGAAATTTTTTGTAAGCGAGAAATCCCGTGTTACCCTAGCAGATGGCATGCCGAGGGAACAAAAGGTACTTAAAACTGTGGTACCAGTAAAACTGGAAGGCAAGACAATACCCACTACATTTATTGTTTTTCCTGAGTCCAGAGACAACCGCACTCTATTAGGAGTAGGATTCATCCAGGATGCGAGGATGGTGTTGGATTTGGCTCAATATGCGTGGAACTTTCTGGGTAGTTATTTTACGTATGAGCTGTACCAGGAAGATTTTGTCTCCTTTGACTATACCAACACATTGGAAAATGTGGGTTATCGACAAGAGCATTTCGCCTTGTCCCTGGAGTCTGAGCAAAGGGTAGTAGTACCAAAACAAAGAGACTCCCAGGTGTATAAGCTTACGGCCGTAGACTTGGCATTAATTAGAAAACCCACTCCCATCTTTGATGGATACTCGCCCCAATTTGCGGACTTCATCATGAATGATGCAGAGCGCAATGTCCGAGAAGCGGAAGTCACCCTTACCGAAGAAGAGAGAGCTCTTTTCCCCAGTCCAGAGAAATATAACATGAGCTTGGATACTTCTCTAGAATTCTTTGATGTGTGTAGCTTAGAAATTGTTATTCAACCTATTGAATTTAATAAATTACTAACAGAGTACGTGAACGTTTTTATACACAACGGCAATCCCTCATCGCTCAGAGAGCACTGTATTGTAACTACCGTTGATATCCCTATATCGGTGCCTCCTTATAGGCTGTCTCAAAGAAAAACAAACATTCTTAAAGCCGAAAAGGAGAAAGTGGTACGGACATATTTTTTTATGGGTTACGCCGGTAAACGAGCAGACGGATCACTTGATGGTAAGCAATTGGCGTCGTCCATGGACACCTGGAAAGAGGCGTTACAAGTGCGTTACCGGCCTTTTGGGGATTAAGAGTTTGAGGATTGTTGTGGATTTATGGATTGGAGAGATTGGGGAAGGGACAGGGGCTAATTGGGCCTCCGATAACCTCTGTTTTTCTGTGAGGTCGTGGTATCACTCCGGTCGAGCCGGCCCATTCGTGCCGAAGTATGGCTCTCCCACATTTGAAAGTGGTATTATTGTACCATACACATCACCTTGGGTTTCACCTATAGTAATGGTGCATAATCCTAATGGAGATGTGCGGGTTCGTATTGATTATCGGCGTTTAAATGCGATAACGGTACCAGATACTTAACATATCCCTCAGTGATGTGAAACTGCTGGCTTATATGGATGACATTATCGTGTTTTCTATCACTTTTAATGACTACATTTCTGATTTGAGAAGAATATTACAGAAAATAAGAGGAGTATAATTTAACAGTGAACAAAGAAAAATGCGAGTGTTTGCGTTCATCAGTAAAATATTTAGGACATATCATAACGCCCGACGGTCTGAAAACAGATCCAGATAAATTCGAGAGGAACAAATGAAAGATGAAAAGCTCAAGAAAATAATAGCTCTTGAGAAAACAAATACCGTTAAGGATGCTATCTATTGAAGCAACAAGGGTTATTTATTGAATAATTGCATGATATTTTGCTTACACGCTTACACTGAGATAACGCTTAACTTGGTACCTCGACGGAGGACGGGGACGTCCTAAGAAGACATAGAACTCCAGGTATATCTTAGTCTTCAGGAACTGAGGAGGAGATTGTAACAATCATAGTAATCAACACATTATGCACTAGCGACATCTATACGGCATACGGCACGCTAACGTAAACTGTAGTTCAGGCCCTCGGTCATAGATGGAGCTGTAGCCAGCCTACCCCAACACTCTACATGCTTCTATCTCGGCCCCGTTCCCGTGAGATAAAAAGTGGCCTATCAAAGTAGTAATGTAAAGTATGTGTAATTCCAAACCATAATCTTGGCCTGTTTCAAATTTAAACCCGATCCCTTCGACCGTTTTGTCGTTATTGAGTAACAAACACATAAAAATACTGAAAACGTCTCAAATTCATTGAGACGTTTTGGTTTTGGTACAATCTATTGTAGATCTCTAGATCTACGTTCATATTTCGTAAAGAACATAAAATTTATAAACCCTAAGGCCCCACGCCTATTTCTATGAATTGTACCAAACACTTTAGGGCTTTGTCGAGGTACAATAGGTTAGTGAACCACGTACCAAGTAGGTTATAGTAACAACTCCATGCATCGTGGTTAAGAAAGATATTTTATGACTAAGAAAAAAATAGAGTGAAAGGTTAGGGTTTCCCGTCTATGATAGACTTCCTTGACTTTAAGTCCTATTGTCCTATAGATGAGGCGGAGGGCGTCCACAGAGGTCCTCATTTCTATCAGTCCTGAGCATCTCTAGTAGACTACCAGAAGATCCATGGATATGTTTAATTTGAAACCGTTGAAATTTGAATTCATTAGGTAATTGGAGGACCTGGTGCCCCCTTACAGGTGAGGGTGGCCACCGGGGTGGTTTTAGTGAGGTAAGATAATCCCACACTTCCGTCTTTCTGCCCAAAAAGCTAGCCGCCCATGAAGGTTTCCACGACATAAAAAAAAGTAATTGGATTAACGATTTGTAAATTATACTAATAATAGGTACAAATAGGTTGTAGGTACAGTTACTACTAAGGCGGGGTTCGAAAACGTCCAAAAAGAAGTATTATTTTAAAACGCGGACATGATGTGAAACATATAAATCTTCTTAAGTACATGTAGTTCTAATAAATAATGTCACTGTTATCTCATTAACCTCTGGGCCCTTTTTGTACCGGCTCTCTAAAGATAAACCAGTTTCTAATTAACTATCTAAAACTATTTTAATTTTAAACTTACAAACCAAAGAGTTAAGTTTTATTTTTGAATGATCTGATTTGGTTTTATTTCTTTGTGGAGAATTGTTATAAACAATCTACATAGTTATAATAATTTTTGAAGTATCCGCTTGTATGCATTTTTGAACTAAGAAATTGATATGAAATGAATGAATATACGTAGTTGATAAACACCTATTT